GCAAGGGTTCTAAAGGAATGTAAAGAGGAGCTTAGCAAACCTTTGGCTAATCTTTTCAACATATCACTACAAACTGGCATGGTGCCAGATAAGTGGAAAATGGCAAATGTGATCCCTATTTTCAAAGCAGGTGACAGGTCCTTAGCTTCGAACTCTAGACCAATAAGCCTAACCTCCATAGTGGGAAAATTTATGGTATCAATAATTGCCGAGGCAGTTCATAGCCACCTTGAAAAGCATAAATTAATCAACGAATCTCAGCATGGTTTTACAATGGGGCGTTCCTGCCTTATGAATTTATTAACTTTTTTCACTAAGGTATTTGAGGAGGTAGATCATGGTAATGAATATGATATTGTGTATATGGACTTCAGTAAGGCTTTTGACAGGGTCCCACATCAGAGACTATTGAGGAAAATTAAGGCACATGGAATAGGAGAAATTTTTTCCTGGATAGAGGCATGGTTGACAAATAGGCAGCAGAGAGTTTGCATAAATGGGGAGAAATCAGAGTGGGGAAGCATCACGAGTGGTGTTCCACAGGGGTCAGTGTTGGGCCCCCTGCTGTTCACAATCTACATAAACAACATAGATGAGGGCATAAAGAGCGACATCAGCAAGTTTGCCGATGACACCAAAATAGGCCGTCGAATTCATTCCGACGAGGACATTAGAGCACTCCAGGAAGATTTGAATAGACTGATACAGTGGTCGGAGGAGTGGCAGATGCAGTTTAATATAGACAAATGCAAAGTTCTAAATGTTGGACAGGACAATAACCATGCCACATATAAACTAAATAATGTAGATCTTAATATTACAGATTGCGAAAAAGATTTAGGAGTTCTGGTTAGCAGTAATCTGAAACCAAGACAACAGTGCATAAGTGTTTGCAATAAAGCTAATAGAATCCTTGGCTTCATATCAAGAAGCATAAATAATAGGAGTCCTCAGGTTCTTCTTCAACTCTATACATCCTTGGTTAGGCCTCATTTAGATTATGCTGCACAGTTTTGGTCACCGTATTACAGAATGGATATAAATGCTCTGGAAAATGTACAAAGGAGGATGACAAAGTTGATCCCATGTATCAGAAACCTTCCCTATGAGGATAGACTAAGGGCCCTGAAACTGCACTCTCTAGAAAGATGTAGAATTAGGGGGGAATATGATTGAGGTGTATAAATGGAAGACAGGAATAAATAAAGGGGATGTAAATAGTGTGCTGAAAATATCTAGCCTAAACAGGACTCGCAGCAATGGTTTTAAGTTGGAAAAATTCAGATTCAGGAAGGATATAGGAAAGTACTGGTTTGGTAATAGAGTTGTGGATGAGTGGAACAAACTCCCAAGTACAGTTATAGAGGCCAGAACGTTGTGTAGCTTTAAAAATAGGTTGGATAAATACATGAGTGGATGTGGGTGGGTGTGAGTTGGACCTGATAGCTTGTGTTACCAGGTCAGTTGCCGTGTTTCTCCCTTAAGTCAATGTGACCTGACCTGACTAGGTTGGGTGCATTGGCTTAAGCCGGTAGGAGACTTGGACCTGCCTCGCATGGGCCAGTAGGCCTGTTGCAGTGTTCCTTCGTTCTTATGTTCTTAAAAAAGAAACACTTTCACCATCAGTCACACTAGCACTGTCCTGCCAGAAGCATACAGATATGACAGCTTAGATGGCCTTCCATACAGCAACTATCTCAGACCCCCATCTTTAGAGTGCAGACACTGGCCTTCCCACCTCCTATGTTTTTTATTTTTTATTTTAACATGTCGGGAGTTTCCCAACGAGGCAGGGTGGCCCAAAAAAGAAAGAAAAAACTGCCATCATTCAACACTTACACCATCATTCATACGTAACAATCACTGTCTTTGCAGAAGCGCTCAGATACGACATTTTAGATGTCAATCCCAACAGCCAATATCCCAAAACCCTCCTTTAAAGAGCAGGCATTGTACCTTCCACCTCCAGGACTCAAGTCCAGCTAACTGGTTTCCTTGAATCCCTTCACAAAATATTACCATGCTCACACTCCAACAGCTCGTCAGGTCCCAAAAGCATTCGTTTCCATTCACTCCTATCTAACACACTCACACATGCTTGCTATGTATATGATACAATTTGGTAAAGAAATATGAATTTCCAAAATACAACTGCTGTATTTTTTTTATTAAATATAATTATTTTTTTTTCAACAAACCAGCCGTATCCCACCAAGGCAGGGTGACCTAAAAAGAAAAATGAAAGTTTCTCTCTTTAAATTTAGTAATATATACAGGAGAAGGGGTTACTAGCCCCTTGCTCCCATATACAGTGGACCCCCAGATACAGGCCAGTGCGGAAATCGGCCAATTTGGAAACCTAGCACTTTTTCGGAGAAACTGCCCCCGGATATCAGCCATCTGTTCGGAAATCATTGGTATGAGACATGTCACCCCCGAGCAACGCACTTCCTCACTCATATCACACAAAGTCTGCACGTCTCTCTCGTTGCATTAGGAATACTCCACGCATTCATCCATTGTTTTTGGTGCTTGTTTATTGATTGTAAGTGTGAAATAAGCCACCATGGGGCCAAAGAAAGTTGAGTGTGTCAGCCCTTCGGTAAAGAAGGTGAGAAACACGACAGAATTCAAGAAAGATGTTATCGCAAAATATGAAAGTGGCGCATGTGTGACAGAGCTGGCCAGGATGTATGGGAGATCTACATCAATAATCAGTTTCATCCTGTTGAAGAAAGCAGAAATCAAGGAAGCTGATGTTGCAAGAGGTGTAAATATGTTAACGAAACAGAGGTCTCAAACAATCGAGGATGTGGAGTTGTTGTTGTTGGTGTGGATCAACCAAAAACAATTAGCGGGAGATAGCGTTTCGGAGGGGAAAATTTGTAAGAAGGAAAGGCAGCTGCATGTGGATCTCGTAAAGAAAATGCCAGGAACGAGTGCTGCTGTTAGTGAATTTAAGGCCAGCAAAGGCTGGTTTGACAGATTCAAGAAGTGTAGTGGGATACACAGTGTTGTAAGGCACTGTGAGGCTGCAAGTTCAGACAAACGTGCAGCTGAAGAATTCATGCATGAATTCAAGGATTACATAAGAGGCTGAAGGCTTCCTTCCCCAACAAATGTTCATTTGTGACGAAACTGGCCTCTTTTGGAAGAAAATGCCAGAGAGGACCTACATCACGCAGGAGGAAAAGGCACTGCCAGGACACAAGCCTATGAAGGATAGGCTAACTCTTTTGTTCCGTGGTAATGCTAGTGGGGATTTCAAAGTGAAGCCTTTACTTGTGTATCACTCTGAAAATCCCAGTGTTTTCAAGAAAAACAATGTCATGAAGAGTAAATTGTGTGTGATGTGGAGGGCTACAATAAGGCATGGGTCACGAAGCTAATTTTCATTGAGAGGGTCAATGAAGCGTTAGGCCTGAGCGTGAAGAAATACCTCCTGGAAAATAAATTACTGGACAATGCTCCTGCTCATCCTCCAGACTTGGAAGACCTATTGTTTGAGGAGTGTAAGTTCATCACAGTGAAGTTCTTACCCCCTAATACCACTCCTCTCATCCAGCCCATGGACCAGCAGGTCATTTCAAACTTCAAAAAACTGTACACAAAAGCAATGTTTCAAAGGTGCTTTGAAGTGACCTTGGACACTGAACTGACCCTAAGAGACTTCTGGAGGAATCACTTCAATATCCACCACTGCATAAGCCTTACAGATAAGGCTTGGCAGGGAGTGACTTCCAGGACTTTGAACTCTGCTTGGAGAAAATTGTGGCCAGAATATGTCCTCGACAAGGATTTTGCAGGGTTTTACTCTGACCCTGACAACCCTATGCCTATTATGGAATGTACTGTGTCTTTGGGGAAGTCCATGGGGTTGAATGTGAGTGGTCAGGATATAGAAGAGTTGGTGGAGGACCACAGGGAAGAGCTAACCACTGAAGAGCTGCAACACCTTCAACAGGTACAGCAACAGACCGCAGCTAAGGATATTGCTTCAGAGGAGGAAGAGAGGGAGGAGAATGCGCCTTCCATTTGTGCAAAATGGAGTGAGGTGCAAAGTTTTGCAGAGAATTATCACCCTGGCAAAACTGTTTCAATCCATGTCTGCAACAAGTTCAATGACAATGTCGTGTCCCAGTTTAGGCAAATTTTAGAGATACCAGAAACAGGCCTCTCTGGACAGATTTTTTGTGAGACAGGGGTACAGTGACTCTTAAGCTGGTCCCAGTGCCAGTAAAAAAGAAGGGAAGTAACCCCAGAAAGGGACATGATACCTGAAGTCCTTATGGAGGGGTTATTCCCCTTCCAAACAATAAGCTCTCCTTCCTCTTCCCTCCTTGCCTTCTTCCATATGCCAACAAGAGTCTTCAATAAAGGTATGTAATGTTCACTTACTATTAAAATTATTGCTTTATATTTCTTTCTCATTGTTTTCTGTATGTAAAACTATAGGTATTCTTTAACCCGTAAACGGTCCAAGCAGATCTACATTCATATGTGTAGGGCTACAAAAGTAGATTTATATTTTTTTTTACATATTTTCAAATATAACAAAAAAAAAGTAGATCATAGTTTTTTTACACATTTTCAAATGTAAAAAAACAAATGTTGAAAAAACGTATATATACGTTTGGACCGTTTACGGGTTAAAAAAAAAATTTTTTTTTGTTAATATTTTTGGGTGTCTGGAATGGATTAATTAGCTTTACATTATTTCTTATGGGAAATATTACTTCGGTTTTCGGTCATTTCTGATTTAGGCCGACCATCTGGAATGGATTACAACCGATAACTGGGGGACCACTGTAATGATGTACGATACGAAAATACTCAATGTAATACTGTCAAGCAGTTTAATATCTACTAACCACCAGTTCTTTAAAGAAAAATATGCATGACACAGCTAAAGGAACAGCCAAAATTTTGAAAAGTGCAGGGCATCTGTGGTAATAGGAGAACAAAGAAGATTATAATTAATATCATTACTACTAACTAACCGGATTAGATCCAGCAAAAGAATTTTTTCCTTGCATATTAGAACTGCGAGGTATAATAAGCCGAGAAGTTTGCGAAAAGACAGCTCGAACGCCTGCTTTTCTCGTAGGTAGCGTTTTTGACCAGAAGTGAAGTGGGATAACCACTTTTGAGCTCTTGATTTCTGAGAATATTTTGCCTTGGAAGATGAATATGAGATGGCACAATCAAATGCTGTTTCATTGTTGCCATCTGCAACTTCATTTGCATCTCTCATCTCACTTTCAGTTTCAGTATCATAGATTTCTTTATGGTTTTCTATCCAATTTCGGACAAACCTGTTGCGACGTACTCGTGCTCTGCAACAATAAAAATGTACCATAAGAACAAAGCATTAATATGCAGACTATCAAAAATTCACAACACAACAAATACAGCCCCAAATGAACAAATACAGTGAGTGACTGTGGGGGAATTACAAGGGCTGGCAGTATGGGTGGAAGGAGTCATGGTATGGGTGAAGGTGTGTGGCAATGGGAGAATTATAGGGGTGAGTGGTATGGGTGAGGTTGCTGTGTGCAATGAGGGTGTGTGGCCTCTGGGAAAGGATGGATGAGCAGTTGGTGTGGGTGAAGGCATGTGGCTGAGGAATGGTACTGGACACGCATAAAGGTAGCACAAGGTATGGTATTCAACGTGTATGAACAGAGCGCTGAGCCTCACTGTGTAGCCTCACTGCCCGATGCTCTAACTTTCACTCCCCACACCTAACATCAACACCTATTTTTCACACCCCTCTGTCCATTTTTCACAACTCGCCACCCATACGTTCTAGCTCTTACCCCCTTCATCCATCCCCTCAACATCCTGCCAATACATTGGAGGGCAGGATGGCTATGGACCGACACCTTCGTACAACATTAGGTCTCCACCTTCACCCATCTCCCACAGTTTCCCTTCACCTATACTCTACCTCCATGCTTCTCTTTCCCCCCCACCACACTTTCACAAACCTCACCTCCCCATGCTTGCATCCACCTCTCTCCCAAACACTCACCACTGCCTGCATATTCTCCATCACATATTCTTACCCAAATGCCTCTACCAATTCTCACACCAGCGCCCATCTGAACATATGCTTCAGTGCCACATGAGGCATACAACAGGTGAAGGGAGCATAGGAAAACAGCATTAGCATGCACCCACAGGCCACACTCACCCCTTTGCTAAGAACTTCACTCACCCTTCTTCACTCAGTACACTGTCCATGCCGCCATCCACTAGCTTGCACATTCCATCCACTAGCCTGTAAAACAATGGACTCACCCCAAGGCTCGATTTTGTATGGCCTGTTCACCAAAAATATGCAACAATTTTGCAACCATGATGGAGAGAAAATGTGTTAACAGATTGAGTGTTATCCGACAATCTACTGTATTTTTTTTTTTTTTAACGAGTCGGCCGTCTCCCACCGAGGCAGGGTGACCCAAAAAGAAAGAAAATCCCCAAAAAGAAAATACTTTCATCATCATTCAACACTTTCACCTCACTCACACATAATCACTGTTTTTGCAGAGGTGCTCAGAACACAACAGTTAAGAAGCATATACGTATAAAGATACACAACATATCCCTCCAAACTGCTAATATCCCGAATTCCCTCCTTTAGAGTGCAGGCATTGTACTTCCCATTTCCAGGACCCTGAATCCCTTCACTAAATATTACCCTGCTCACACTCCAACAGATCGTCAGGTCCCAAATACCATTCGTCTCCATTCACTCCTATCAAACACGCTCATGCACGCCTGCTGGAAGTCCAAGCCCCTCGCCCACAAAACCTCCCTTACCCCTTCCTTCCAACCTTTTTGAGGACGACCCCTATCCCTACCTCTACTGTACTGCAATAACAAAATCCGAGATGTTAAATGCACATAATTCCTTAAAAATGAAGATTAGTAGTGAATTTCACAAACATAAGGCAAAAGAAAATAGTTCAAAAGTCAAACTTACCTAGGTGCAAGAGGCTGACATTCACTTTTTGGCTCTGAATTATCAGAACTGTAAATATGCACGTCACTGCTGGCAGTAGTAGATGTCTGCTCTGTCTTGAATCCATTCTGAAATAGTCACTGGTTTTCAGATTTGAATGGTTTCTTACATTACTTTTAGCAAATTTAAAATTTAGTGGAATACCACCAAATGATATTTTAACTTTTTCACCATCTCGTACATATATCTACGCTATTCGTGCCAGGGTCACTTACACAGATCTATGTTATGAGCTCAGCTGCACCTGATAAGCTATCAGCTGTAAATTTTAGCCTAGACATAAGAGAATGAGTCAGTGTGGTGAATATGCACAGTATAAAAAAAAATTCTACCTCCCACAAGGTGCATGATGGGAAAAGCAAACCTCTGACCTTGTGTTTGGTTTAAAATAGTGACTTTGAGGTGTTTTCTAGAATGATTTATATAGGTTAATTGGCTTTTTCTTGCTATCTTTGATAGAATGAATGTGCTACCAAATAAAAAGGTGATTTTGGTTGGTCTCAGGACCAGAAGTAGCTTGCAATCGGGCTCAAAGTAGAAGAAAGACGGTATTCCATTTTTTATCATTTCCCTGATGAAAACAGTAAAAATCTACATCCACTGCTCTGTTTCATAGGTTTTTACTAGGCCTGATTCAATTATTGGAATTTTTAAACCATGACCAATCATGACTCACCTCACAAGATGACCAATCAACTTGGTTATACAGTGGAACCTCAGTATGCGACCTTAATTCATTCCAAAAGGCTGTTCAAGTGCCGTTCCGTTTAAATAATGAACAAGTCCTTCCCAACCAATTTTCTGTTTGGTTGGCTGTTATCACTAATCGTTATAGGCCCCATGATGATTTATTTATACAAATAATACAAAAAACACAAAAAATGCAAAGAAACACGAAATAACGTACAACAAAGTTCTGGCAGGTCTTGTTTGTTAGATTGAGTGCTGAGCTTTGTTTGAGTAGGGAGCTGGTCGTATACCGAGGTTCCACTGTATATTATTAACTGAGAGACAGACAAATATTTGATTTTTTGTAATGATAAAGTCAAAATGGAAGGCAAATGTAATATAGCAGTCCTTATTAATGAACAGAAGAAATGTTGTTTTAGTGCCTGGAATGTGTACATTGTTTATTTTGAACTTTGTTTTTAAATTGGATTTTTTAATTGTGTAAAATTGGCCAAATTACCATCTTCTGTACACTTTACAGGTAGTTCTAATAGTTAATTAGATGGTTTCTTGTGCTCAATCAATAGAATGAAAGGCAAACTAGAGAAATAGCTAGAATTTGGTTGAATGGAGCCATGGAATTGGTTTAAAACAGGACTAAATGTGGGCGAAATCACGGATGCACAAATTGTGCCAAGACTGCTAACTTCACGCTTGTGTAATTCTGGAAATTTTCCATCAAATTTCATACTTTGTGTCATTACCTTCAGAAAAAGATTCTCAACCATTTCAGAATTGTTTTTTAAATATGGACACTGAGAACAATATTAATTTGGGGTGTGCGTGTGAACAGTGAAAGGGTTAATGTAATGAAATAGAGCCAGAACACAAGATATACATTGGCCTTAATAATGTAACGATACACGTAAGATATTTATTCTGGTTTCAAATGAAAGGCTCATGGCAACTGAAAAGTTGTAGTGATTCTTTTCTTGATGGTGTTGGAAGCAAAAGCATCAATGATACCTTCAATATTCAGACTCTTAGCTCTTTTTGAATTAGGAGTGGAGATAAGTGGTTTTTATGACTTGATGTGCTGTTGAAATGTTAGCAAGGTAACATTAATGGATTCAGGGAAACCGAATATTTGGACTCGAGTCCTGGAGGTGGGAGGTACAGTGCCTGCACTCTGAAGGAGGGGTAGGAATATTTGTAGTTTGGAGGGGATTTTGAACCATACTATTGGCACTCCTCTGGGAAGACAGCGATGGAGTGAATGATGGTGAAAGTGTTTCTTTTCCAGGTCACCCTACCTTGGTGGAAGATGGCCAGTGTTTAAAAAAAAAAAAAAAAAAAAAAAATATATTTATTTTTTTATTATTTATTATCACACTGGCCGATTCCCACCAAGGTAGGGTGGCCCAAAAAAGAAAAACTTTCACCATCATTCACTCCATCACTGTCTTGCCAGAAGGGTGCTTTACACTACAGTTTTTAAACTGCAACATTAACCCTTTGAGGGTTTTGGTCGTACTAGTACGTCTTACGCGTAGGGGTTTTTGACGTACTAGTACGCATAAATTCTAGCGGCCTCAAATCTAGTGAGAGAAAGCTGGTAGGCCTTCATATGAAAGAATGGGTCGATGTGGTCAGTGTGCACAGTCTAAAAAAAATCCTGCAGCACACAGTGCATAATGAGAAAAAAAAAAACTTTGACCATTTTTTTGGAATAAATCAGCGACTTTGCAGTGTATTTTCGTATGGTATTTATTGTTGTATTCTAGTTTTCTTGGTCTCATTTTATAGAATGGAAGACATATTACAGAAATTGAGATGATTTTGACTGGTTTTATAATGAAAGGTGCCTTGAAATTGAGCTCAAAGTAGCAGAAATGTTCGATTTTTACCAAACTTCAAAAGTAAACAAATCGTGCCAAGCGTGCAATACACGTCAACTGGTGAGTCTAATATTCTTTCACAAGTGCACCAATAATATTTATACCATTTTTTACACTAATGCAGTAGTCTGCATACACAGTAATTCTTATATTTTTTGTGAAAATAAAAAATTCAAAGTGGAAAGCAAAAGAATATAAGAGGGGCCTTGAGACGTGACTAATGACTAGAGGAAATGTCATTTTAGTGCCAGGAATGTCTTTCTTGTTTATTCTGGACCCTATTCGGAAATTGGCATTTTTGAAAATTTGTGTGAAATGGCAAAATTGCTAATTCTGACCACTGTACTGGATAGTTGACTTTCATAAATGGGTGGTTTCTTGCACCCATTCGATAGAAAAAAATGGAGTTCTAGCGAAATATTCATGTTTTTTGTCGACTAGTACAGTGAAATTGGCCGAAAATGGGGCTCAAAGTGGGCAAAATCGCTGATGCGTAAACATCGCCGAGACCGCTAACTTTGCGAGAGCATAATTCCATAAGTTTTCTATCAAATTTCAAACTTTTGGTGTCTTTATGATCGGGAAAAGATTCTCTATCTTTTCATAAGAGAAAATAATTTTTTTTGTTTTTTAAATTTGGCCGACCCTGAGAACGAGTTTCGGAGAGGGCCTGTCGACCCTCAAAGGGTTAACACCCCTCCTTCAGAGTGCAGGCACTGTACTTCCCATCTCCAGGACTCAAGTCCGGCCTGCCGGTTTCCCTGAATCCCTTCATAAATGTTACTTTGCTCACACTCCAACAGCACGTCAAGTATTAAAAACCATTCGTCTCCATTCACTCCTATCAAACACGCTCATGCATGCCTGCTGGAAGTCCAAGCCCCTCGCACACAAAACCTCCTTTACCCCCTCCCTCCAACCTTTCCTAGGCCGACCCCTACCCCGCCTTCCTTCCACTACAGGCTGATACACTCTTGAAGTCATTCTGTTTCGCTCCATTCTCTCTACATGTCCGAACCACCTCAACAACCCTTCCTCAGCCCTCTGGACAACAGTTTTGGTAATCCCGCAACCTCCTCCTAACTTCCAAACTACGAATTCTCTGCATTATATTCACACCACACATTGCCCTCAGACTGACATCTCCACTGCCTCCAGCCTTCTCCTCGCTGCAACATTCATCACCCATGCTTCACACCCATATAAGAGCGTTGGTAAAAACTATACTCTCATACATTCCCCTCTTTGCTCCAAGGACAAAGTTCTTTGTCTCCACAGACTCCTAAGTGCACCACTCACCTTTTCCCCTCATCAATTCTATGATTCACCTCATCCTTCATAGACCCATCCGCTGACACGTCCACTCCCAAATATCTGAATACATTCACCTCCTCCATACTCTCTCCCTCCAATCTGATATCCAATCTTTCATCACCTAATATTTTTGTTATCCTTCATAACCTTACTCTTTCCTGTATTCACTTTTTAATTTTCTTCTTTTGCACACCCTACCAAATTCATCCACCAATCTCTGCAACTTTTCTCTAGAATCTCCCAAGAGCACAGTGTCATCAGCAAAGAGCAACTGTGACAACTCCCACTTTATGTGTGATTCTTATCTTTTTAACTCCACGCCTCTTGTCAAGACCTCGCATTTACTTCTCTTACAACCCCATCTATAAATATATTAAACAACCACGGTGACATCACGCATCCTTGTCTAAGGCCTACTTTTACTGGGAAATAATTTCCCTCTTTCCTACATACTCTAACTTGAGCCTCACTATCCTCGTAAAACTCTTCACTGCTTTCAGTAACCTACCTCCTACACCATACACCTGCAACATCTGCCACATTGCCCCCCTATCCACCCTTGTCATATGCCTTTTCCAAATCCATAAATGCCACAAAGACCTCTTTAGCCTTATCTAAATACTGTTCACTTATATGTTTCACTGTAAACACCTGGTCCACACACCCCCTACCTTTCCTAAAGCCTCCTTGTTCATCTGCTATCCTATTCTCTGTCTTACTCTTAATTCTTTCAATAATAACTCTACCATACACTTTACCAGGTATACTCAACAGACTTATCCCCCTATAATTTTTGCACTCTCTTTTGTCCCCTTTGCCTTTATACAAAGGAACAAGGAACTATGCATGCTCTCTGCCAATCCCTAGGTACCTTACCCTCTTCCATACATTTATTAAATAATTGCACCAAACCCCCACTCCAAAACTATATCCCCCCTGCTTTAACATTTCTATTTTTATCCCATCAACCCCGGCTCCCTTACCCCCTTTCTTTTTTCCCTCGCCTCACGAATTTCCCCCCCCACACTCACAACTGGCTCTTCCTCACTCTAAAAGATTTATTCCCCCTTCCCCTATACACGAAATCACATTTCCCCTATTTTTCCAAAAAATTTTAACAATCCTAAAAATTCCCCCCATTTTCCCCCAATCCCCTAACTCTCCATTTAATAACTCTCCTCCCTTTTTTTAACTGACAAATCCTTTTGTTCTAGGTTTCCCCTTAAACTTGTTAATCTCACCAAAACTTTTTCTTTTTTTCAACAAAATTTTTTGATAACATCCCCCCACTCTTCATTTGCCCTCTTTTTACTTGCTTCCCCACTCTCTTAACCTTCTCTTTTTTTCCTAAAATTTTCCCCCCTTGCATCACTTCTACTTTGTAAAAGCTTCTCTATGCAATTTTTTCCCCCTTACTATCCTTTACATCTCATTAACCAATCGCCCCTCTTCCCCCCCCGCCCCCCTTTTCCCGTAACCAAAATTTCTGCTGAACACTCTAACACTACTTTTTTTAACCTACCCCATACCTCTTCGACCCCATTGCCTATGCACTCATTAGCCCATCTATCCTCCAATAGCTGTTTATATCTTTCCCTAACTGCCTCTCTTTTAGTTTTATAAACCTTCACCTCTCTCTTCCCTGATGCTTCCATTCTCCTTGTATCCCATCTACCTTTTACTCTCAGTGTAGCTACAACTAGAAAGTGATCTGATATATCTGTGGCCCCTCTATAAACATGTACATCCTGAAGTCTACTCAACAGTCTCTTATCTACCAATACATAATCCAACAAACTACTGTCATTTTGCCCTACATCATATCTTGTATAACTTATTTATCCTCTTTTTCTTAAAATATGTATTACCTATAACTAAACCCCTTTCTATACAAAGTTCAATCAAAGGGCTCCCTTTATCATTTACACCGGGCCCACCCCAAACTTACCTACCACACCCTCTCTAAAAGTTTCTCCTACTTTAGCATTCAGGTCCCCTACCACAATTACTCTCTCACTTGGTTCAAAGGCTCCTATACATTCACTTAACATCTCCCAAAATCTCTCTCTCTCCTCTGCATTCCTCTCTTCTCCAGGTGCATACACGCTTATTATGACCCACTTCTCGCATCCAACCTTTACTTTAATCCACATAATTCATGCATTTACACATTCATATTCTCTTTTCTCCTTCCATAACTGATCATTCAACATTACTGCTACCCCTTCCTTTGCTCTAACTCTCTCAGATACTCCAGATTTAATCCCATTTATTTCCCCCCACCGAAACTCCCCTACCCCCTTCAGCTTTGTTTCGCTTAGGGCCCGGACATCCAACTTCTTTTCATTCATAACATCAGTAATCATCTGTTTCTTGTCATCTGCACTACATCCACGCACATTCAAGCATCCCAGTTTTATAAAGTTTTTCTTCTTCTCTTTTTTAGTAAATGTCTACAGGAGAAGGGGGTTACTAGCCCATTGCTCCCGGCATTTTAGTCGCCTCATACGACACGCATGGCTTACGGAGGAAAAATTCTTTTCCACTTCCCCATGGACAATAGAAGAAATAAAGAACAAGAGCTATGTAGAAAAAGGAGAAAAACCTAGATGTATGTATATATATATGCATGTGCGAGTCTGTGAAGTGTGACCAAAGTGTAAGTAGGAGTAGCAAGATATCCCTGTTATCTAGCGTGTTTATGAGACAGAAAAAGAAACCAGCAATCCTACCATCATGCAAAACAGTTACAGGTTTCTGTTTCACAGTCATCTGGCATGACGGTAGTACTTCCCTGGGTGGTTGCTGTCTACCAACCTACTACCTAATGATTGTCAAGGAGAAGGAGCTACTTGGCATTGCCACTAAACATGGGACACCAATAACAAAGGTAATCATAATAATAAACAGAAAACAAAGAAAAAGGCAGTTCATAAAATAACATGTCTCCTAAAAACTATCATACATAGTGAATATCTTATAATTAAAAATGAAAAGTGACATGGTGTTACTGGTACTTACATTTGATGTGTCAGATGGATGGCACATGTTCTCAGTATATACAGAAGAGTCTTCAGTAAGGACTGAAGCTGAAGTATTAAGGTTGAGTGAAGATAACTCAAACTCATTCAGTGACTTACTCAACTCTGTCGCTAACATATTACTTATTGATGATGATTTCTTCCTCACATTCTCTTCTTGATGAGTTTTATGCCTCTCCAACTGTTAATTATGAAAGCAAAATTAAAACTTTTGCAAAAACCTATATATGAAGCCAACTCCCATTTAATGAACATTTACATTATGATAACTTCAAATAATGCTCCCTAAAAAAATGGGACACATCAAACACTGCCATCCCTCTACTATTTAATCAACCATTTCTCATGGTAGGTGGCAACCATCAATAAATGGGGTACTTGTATACACCTGCTGCTAGCAGATGTAAACATTTTTTTTTTTTTTAACAAGTCGGCCGTCTCAAACCGAAGCAGGGTGACCCAAAAATAAAGAAAATCCCCAAAAAGAAAATACTCTCATCATTCAACTCTTTCACCTCACTCACACAATCACTGTTTTTGCAGAGGTGCTCAGAACACAATAGCTTAGAAGCATATATGTATAAAGATACACAACATATCCCTCCAAACTGTCAATATCCCGAACCCTCCTTTAGAGTGCAGGCATTGTACTTCCCATTTCCAGGACTCAAGTCCGGCTATATAAAAATAACCGGTTTCCATGAATCCCTTCACTAAATATTACCCTGCTCACACTCCAACAGATCGTTAGGTCCCAAATACCATTCATCTCCATTCACTCCTATCGAACACGCTCACGCACGCCTGCTGGAAGTCCACAAAACCTCCCTTACCCCTTCCTTCCAACCTTTTCGAGGACGACCCCTACCCCGTCTTCCTTCTCCTACAGATTTAAATGCTCTCCATGTCATTCTACTTTGATCCATTCTCTCTAAATGACCAAACCACCTCAACAACCCCTCATTAGCCCTCTGACTAATACTTTTATTAACTCCACACCTTCTCCTAATTTCCACACTCCGAATTTTCTGCATAATATTTACACCACACATTGCCCTTAGACAGGACATCTCCACTGCCTCCAACCGCCTCCTCGCTGCTGCATTCACAACCCAAGCTTCACACCCATATAAGAGTGTTGGTACTACTATACTTTCATACATTCCCTTCTTTGCCTCCATAGATAATGTTTTTTGTCTCCACATATACCTCAATGCACCACTCACCTTTTTTCCCTCATCAATTCTATGATTAACCTCATCCTTCACAAATCCATTCGCCGACACGTCAACTCCCGAGTATCTGAAAACATTCACTTCTTCCATACTCCTCCTCCCCAATTTGATATCCAATTTTTCTTTATCTAAATCATTTGATACCCTCATCACCTTACTCTTTTCTATGTTCACTTTCAACTTTCTACCTTTACACACACTCCCAAACTCATCCACTAACCTTTGCAATTTTTGTTTAGAATCTCCCATAAGCACAGTATCATCAGCAAAAAGCAACTGTGTCAATTCCCATTTTGTATTTGATTCCCTATAATTTAATCCCGCCCCTCTCCCGAACACCCTAGCATTTACTTCTTTTACAACCCCATCTATAAATATATTAAACAGCCATGGTGACATTACACATCCCTGTCTAAGACCTACTTTTACCGGGAAGTAGTCTCCCTCTCTTCTACACACCCTAACCTGACCCTCACTATCCTCATAAAAACTCTTTACAGCATTTAGTAACTTACCACCTATTCCATATACTTGCAACATCTGCCACATTGCTCCTCTATCCACTCTACCATATGCCTTTTCTAAATCCATAAATGCAATAAAAACTTCCCTACCTTTATCTAAATACTGTTCACATATATGCTTCAATGTAAACACTTGATCTACATATCCCCTACCCACTCTGAAACCTCCTTGCTCATCCGCAATCCTACATTCTGTCTTACCTCTAATTCTTTCAATTATAACCCTACCGTACACTTTTCCTGGTATACTCAGTAAACTTTTTATTTTTTTTCAAGAAACTGGCCATATCCCACCAAGGCAGGGTGGCCCAAAAAGAAAAACGAAAGTTTCTCTTTTTAAATTTATTAATTTATACGGGAGAAGGGGTTACTAGCCCCTCGCTCCCGGCATTTTAGTCGCCTCTTACAACACACATGGCTTACGGAGGAAGAATTCTGTTCCACTTCCAGAAGGAGATAAGAGGAAATAAACAAGAACAAGAACTAGAAAGAAAATAGAAGAAAACCCAGAGGGGTGTGTGTATATATATATGCTTGTACATGTATGTGTAGTGTGACCTAAGTGTAAGTAGAAGCAGCAAGACGTACCTGAAATCTTGCATGTTCATGAGACAGAAAAAAGGACACCAGCAATCCTACCATCATGTAAAACAATTACAGGCTTTCGTTTTACACTCACTTGGCAGGACAGTAGTACCTCCCTGGGCGGTTGCTGTCTACCAACCTACTACCTAGAACTCAGTAAACTTATTCCTCTATAATTTTTACAATCTCTTTTGTCCCCCTTCCCTTTATATAAAGAGATTATACATGCTCTCTGCCAATCTCTAGGTACCTTCCCCTCTTTCATACATTTATTAAACAAAAATACCAACCACTCCAACACTATATCCCCCCCTGCTTTTAACATTTCTGTCATGATCCCGTCAGTTCCAGCTGCTTTACCCCCTTTCTTTCTACATAATGCCTCATGCACCTCCCCCACACTCACATCCTGTTCTTCTTCACTCCTAAAAGATGGTATACCTCTCCTGTCCAGTGCATGAAATTACCGCCTCCCTTTCTTCGTCGACATTCAAAAGTTCCTCAAAATATTCTCGCCATCTACCCAAAACCTCCCTCTCCCCATCTACTAACTCCCCTACTCTGTTTTTAACTGACAAATCCATTTGTTCCCTAGGCTTTCTTAACTTGCTTAACTCACTCCAAAATTTTTTCTTATTTTCATTAAAATTTCTTGACAGTGCCTCTCCCACTCTATCATCTCCTCTCCTTTTGCACTCTCTCACCACTCTCTTCACCTTTCTTTTACTCTCCATATACTCTGCTCTTCTTACAACAATTCTGCTTTGTAAAAACCTCTCATAAGCTAACTTTTTCTCTTTTATCACAACCTTTATGTCATCATTCCACCAATCACTCCTCTTTCCTCCTGCACCCACCCTCCTATAACCACAAACTTCTGCCCCACATTCTAATACTGCATTTTTAAAACTATTCCAACCCTCTTCAACCCCACCCACTGCTCATACTTGCACCAGTCCACCTTTCTGCCAATAACTGCTTATATCTCACCCGAACTTCCTCTTTCCTTAGTTTATACACTCACCTCCCTCTTACCCTCTTGTTGCCATTTTCCTCTTTTCCCATCTACAGCTCTTACTCTAACTGTAGCTACAACTAAATAATGATCCGATATGTCAGTTGCCCCTCTATAAACGTGTACATCCTGGAGCCTACCCATCAACCTTTTATCCACCAATACATAATCTAACAAACTACTTTCATTACATGCTATATCATACCTTGTATATTCATTTATCCTCTTCTTCATAAAATATGTATTACTTATTACTAAACCTCTTTTTATGCATAGCTCAATTAAAGGCTCCCCATTTTCATTTACCCCTGGCACCCCAAATTTACCTACTACTCCCTCCACAACATTTTTCCCCACTTTAGCATTGAAATCCCCAACCACCATTACTCTCACACTTGGTTCAAAACTCCCCACGCATTCACTCAACATTTCCCAAAATCTCTCTCTCTCTCCTCTACACTTCTCTCTTCTCCAGGGGCATATACGCTTACTATAACCCACTTTTCACATCCAACCTTTATTTTACTCCACATAATCCTTGAATTAATACATTTATAGTCCCTCTTTTCTTGCTATAACTTATCCTTCAACATTATTGCTACTCCTTCTTTAGCTCTAACTCTATTTGAAACCCCTGACCTAATCCCATTTATTCCTCTCCACTGAAACTCTCTTACCCCTTCATCTTTGTTTCGCTTAAAGCCAGGACATCCAGCTTCTTCTCATTCATAACATCCACAATCATCTCTTTCTTATCATTTGCACAACATCCACGCACATTCAGACTTCCCACTTTGACGATTTTCTTCTTATTCTTTTTAGTAATTATTACAGGAAAAGGGGTTACTAGCCCATTGTTTCCGGCATTTTAGTTGACTTTTACAACACGCATGGCTTACGGAGGAAAGATTCTTATTCCACTTCCCCATGGATATAAAAGGAAAAGTAATAAGACCAAGAACTATTAAGATAAAATCAAAGAAAACTCAGACGAGTGTGTATAAATAAACATGTACATGAATGTGTAGTGTGACCTAAGTGTAAGTAGAAGTAGCAAGATGTACCTGAAATCTTGCATGTTTATGAGACAGAAAAAAGACACCAGCAATCCTACCATCATGTAAAACAATTACAGGTTTCCGTTTTACACTCACTTGGCAGGACGGTAGTACCTCTCTGGGCGGTTGCTGTCTACCAACCTACTACATATATGTACACATATGAACTTAAATATCACTCTCTGTTGACATTCAGTTACAAAGCATCTTTTTTTTTGGAACATTTGAAGCTATGCTGCAGAGGTTTATAGAAGTTATCAGAGCTATTCCAGGAAATGGGAAATGGAGTCTACAACTTTGGTCAGCAGGCACCTGCCCATGTCAACTGTTCCAAGAACTTTGTCCTAGTTATCATACATCAGCGTTGATATGTTGAACCCAATCGGATGACGTCTTGTGTTATGAGCAAAATAAAAACAAAGCTTTGGAGAAAAAAAAAGTCTGGCACCTATTTAATGGGTCCCCTTCAGAGATCTCTAATAAATAAATATTACTGTGAAAAACTAATACATCACAACAAATGTCTTTTTGCTCATGTGTATACATATGAAAATAGTCTCTAGCTATCCCCATTATTGATAAATTATTACAATTTAAATATAAATCAAGTTTTCATATATTTTAGTTCACAAATTTTGTTAAATGGAAATTTAAAAGTGGAAAAATGGAAGCATTTAAGACAATATAAGAAGAGAACCACTTACCCTTTCAATCATCTTTTCCATTCTGGATGAAATTTTCTTCTTCTTTTTACGCTTGCTACTAGCATTTGAGATGGGGGACACACTTCTCTTCCCTTGGATTATCAGCTGGACATCTCTGGAGTTTAAGAAACTTGATCACTATTTTGTTTGTGTGCAGGGGGGGGGGGTCTTGAATTATAAACCAAAAAATACATGCAGCAGGTGTAACCTCAACCCTTAATAAGAATACAGGACCCCATTCGTACAATAAGTGAAAATTGCTGGTGGGTGGAGAAGTGTTTGTTTCATTATCAAATGTGTCTAAAACACCTGATAATGTGCTTACACTATCAAAAATTAAGTGCCTGATACAGTTAGGCATAAAAAACAGATAAAAAAGCAAAATAAATACACAGTACATACAATAATTACCTTAAAATATGGTGCCAGTGCCCTACCCTTATGTAGTCGTTGCGCAAAAATGTCAGAAAAATGATAAAAGCACCAAACCTAATGAACAATGGCTCAGTTGAAAGCCAACAAAATATGTGGAACACCAAAGAGGGTGCTGAATATGTGGGGCCATCCTGTATACATAAAAGTTTTTAATGGGTAATAAGTCTCCATACTAATTACATCCCACATACCCATGTATTGACCTATAACACCCACACTTGTGTGCAGAGCTGAAAGGTAAAGTGAAGATCAGGTTCTTGTGGTACCCAGTTGCAAATAGGATACAGGCAGGATGGCAGTACAGTATACCTGTGGGACATGTGAAAAGGCTCTTGGGAAAAAATCTAGAATCACATGCAACCTTTGCTTTTCAAAACATCATGTTACCTGTGCAAGAATAAACACTGCAACCAAAAATGACATCTATCTAGATAGGTGTTTCTGGATCTGCAACAGGGATGTGGAACTATGGACAGATATCAGGAAAGCATTCAGGAGGTTAATAAACAATAAACACGAAAAAAAAGAGGAGCTATTGAATAGTCTACCTGGAATATATAGAGCATGGGAAGATAGGAGAGGAGTAAAATCTAACACAGAGAATGCCCAGTCTACAACAACTGACCCAAAAATAAGCAGATACACACTAGAAAAAATACGGGAAACAAAAACAACAGCTAGTTCAGTCCCCAGCCTTAGTGCTGACCCAGACCCAGCCCCCAGCCATTGTGAAAATCCGGATTCAGTTAAAGACTCCTCCACAGCCACCAACACCATAGCTCCTAGTACAGATGTAGTAGAGGAGCCCTCCTCTGGGGTAGACTCTTCTGCAACCATCACAGTCATAGCCCCTAGTACAGATGTAGTAGAGGAGCCCTCCTCTGGGGTAGACTCTTCTGCAGCCATCATAGTCATAGCCTCTAGTACAGATGTAGTCGGGGAATCCCCTCCCAGGAAAAATGTCGATGCCATGACAGCAGATGGTGGTGTCTCTGGATTGGCTATGGAGGACTGTAGTTCAGCCCTAGGGCCAGCACAGATTAAGAATACATCCAGCACGAATTGTACCCAGCCAAAAACAAAATGGTGCAAATACTATATTTGGGGCATCTGTAAACACGGAATATCAGGGAAAACGAATGGGGCATGCAACTTTGAGCATCCCAAAAATTGCCGTGACCTCCTGTCTAGGGAGTGTGTCGTTCTACCTCTTGCAAATACTTCCACCCGGAGATGTGTCAGTCTTCAGTCCTAGAAAAACAATGTTACAATACCAATTGCACTGCATATCATTTAAAAGGGACCAGGAGGCACACACCCCATACAACACATCATAGAAACTATGGTAGCTATGACAACACCCCAAGTGATTTTTTAGGGGTAGGAAACGAAGAAAGAAAATGGAAAGAGATAACCAAAATAGTCCACCACCTTGGAGCCTTGTTGGACTGGAGGCACAGCCAGTGGCGCCTCCGGGCTCACAGCTACTGATGCCAACAACAAAATCCCCCCCAACAAACATGCAACACAACCTCATTTATATTTGCTAATATACAGGGCCTTAAGCCATCCACAAACAACAAAATACCTTTCATTAGTGGACTTCTAGAGGAGTCAAATTCACTGTTTGCAGCTTTCACAGAGACCCACGCAAAAGATTACTTTAACAGTGAAATATGGATACCTGGATACAACGTTTTCAGATGCGACAGAAAGAACAGGCAACAAGGGGGGGTTGGCCTGTACGTCAAAGAGTCGCTCATTTGCACAGAGATACTGAACACCACAAATGATGTAGGTGAAGTTCTGGCAATAAAAATCGAGAACCAAAACTTAGTCATTGTACTTGTATACAGTGGACCCCCGGTTAACGATTTTAATCCGTGCAAGAGGGGTAATTGTTATGCGAAATAATCGTTATGTGAATGAATTTTCCCCATAAGAAATAATGGAAATAAAATTAATCCGTGCAAGACACCCAAAAGTATGAAAAAAAAATTTTTTTACCACATGAAATATTAATTTTAATACACACAAACTGAAAAAGGCATGCACACTTACATGACACTTACTTTTATTGAAGATCTGGTGATGATTGATGGGATGGGAGGAGGGGAGAGCATTATCTTCTTACTGTTTAGAAGGGGAATCCCCTTCCATTACGACTTGAGGTAGCAAGTCCTTTTCCGGGGTTACTTCCCTTCTTCTTTTAATGCCACTAGGACCAGCTTGAGAGTCACTGGACCTCTGTCGCACAACAAATCTGTCCATAGAGCTCTGTACCTCCCGTTCCTTTACGATTTGTCTAAAATGGGCCACAACATTGTCATTGAAATAGTCACCAGCACGGCTTGCAACAGCTGTGTCAGGGTGATTTTCATCCATAAAGGTTTGCAGTTCAACCCACTGTGCACACATTTCCTTAATCTTTGAAGTAGGCACAATGGATTCCACAACTGGCATAGGCTTCTCAGGGTTAGCCCAAACCCTTCAAAATCTTTCTTAATTTCCATACTAATTCTCACCCTTTTTACCACAGGGTTGGCACTAGAAGCTTTCTTGGGGCCCATGGTCACTTATTTTCCAGAAACAGCACCGAAAACACTGTAATAATACGAAATATTCCGAGTGTATGCTTGGATGTTACCGCGGAGGCTGGCTGGTAAACAATGGGACGGGCGGCACATGTGAGGCTGGCTGAGGGCACATTGGACGCGTCTCGGACGAAAATCGGTGAGCGGGTTTTTAATCGGTATGCGCGGCAAAAATTTTGCGATAAAAGTAAGCGGTATGCGGAAAAATCGCTATGTGATGCCATCGTTATGCGGGGGTCCACTGTATAAGCCACTGGATGCAACTTCCCAACAGTTCAAAGAACAACTGTCAAAAATCGACTCCTGTCTGGACAACTTTCCAGCCCCATCCCCAAACATCTTGCTGCTTGGTGACTTCAATCTAAGACACACAAAATGGAAGAATATAGCAAATAATGTCGTAGCAGAAATAATCCCTGGAGGTAGCTCAGATGAAAGGTCACACATGCAGGAGCTGCTGAACTTCTGCAACAAACACATCCTAAGTCAGCAAATAGTGGAGCCAACAAGACTGGAGAACACACTGGACCTTATTTTCACAAATAATGAGGACCTGGTAAGGAATATAACAATATCAAAAACAACAAATTCTGATCACAATCTAATTGAAGTCCAGACTTGCATGCACAGGAGTCCTGATCAGCACAATGCATTCAGTTATGAGGGTACCTTTACCAAATTCAACTTCAACAACAAGAACATCATCTGGGATCAGGTAAACTATGCCCTAAATGAAACATGCTGGGAGGATATCTTAAATTACATAGACCCGAACCAATGCCTCGAAAAGATCACCCTCCTGGTAGCTGAAGTATGTTCAAGGTATATTCCTATAAGACAAAAGAAAAGAAGAAGTAAACTGGAGAGAGAGAGATGCTCCCTCTACAGGAGAAGACGAAGAATCATTGAGCTCCTCAAGAATGCCAGATTATCTGATGCACGGAAGGTAGTGCTAACCAGGGAAGTGGAAAATATTGAGCTGAAGTTAAAGGACTCATACAGGATCCAGGAGAGACAAGAGGAGCTAAAAGCGATTAATGAAATTGAAAGAAATTCGAAATATTTCTTTTCATATGCCAAAAACAAGTCAAAAACCACTTCTAGTATAGGGCCCCTGCTCAGACAAGATGGATCCTACACTGACGACAACAAAGAAATGAGCGAGATACTGAAATTGCAGTATGACTCAGAGTTCAGCGAGCCACTAACCAGTTTAAAGATAGATGATCCAAACAATTTTTTCATGAATGAGCCTCAAAACCCTGCCAATGTAGGGCAGATTTATGACATAACTCTAACTCCACTAGACTTTGAGAAAGCCATCGACGACATGCCCATGCACTCAGCCCCAGGCCCAGACTCGTGGAACTCGGTGTTCATTAAAAACTGCAAGAAACCCCTCTCACGGGCCCTAAGTATGCTATGGAGAAGGAGCTTAGACACAGGCGAGATTCCACAGTCACTAAAAACAACAGATATAGCCCCACTCCATAAAGGTGGCAGCAAAGCAGTAGCTAAGAACTATAGACCAATAGCTTTAATGTCCCACATCATAAAAATCTTTGAAAGAGTTCTAAGAAGCAGGATAGCAAACCACCTGGACTCCCAAAAATTGCACAACCCAGGGCAACATGGTTTCAGAGCAGGTTGCTCCAGCCTTTCGCAACTGCTTGACCACTATGATATGATCCTAGATGCACTGGAAAACAAACAAAATGCGGATGTAGTATACACAGACTTTGCAAAAGCCTTTGACAAGGGCGACCATGGTGTAATAGCACAAAAAATGCATGCTAAAGGGATAACCGGCAAAGTAGGCAGATGGATCTTCAACTTTCTAACCAATCGCACACAAAGAGTAGTGGTAAAGAGTTAAATCAGATGCTGCCATAGTGAAGAGCTCTGTCCCACAAGGCACAGTACTCGCACCTATCCTGTTCCTTATTCTCATATCAGACATAGACAGAGATGTAAACCACAGCGCTGTATCATCTTTTGCAGATGATACTAGGATCTGCATGAGAGTGTCATCCATTGAGGACACTGTTAACCTCCAAGAAGATATAAACCAAGTTTTCCAATGGGCAATGGAGAACAATATGATGTTCAATGAAGACAAATTCCAACTACTCTGTTATGGAAAACTGGAGGAAATAATAACTAGAACTGAGTATACTACAAACTCCAATCACACAATAGAGAGGAAAAGTAATGTGAGAGACCTGGGAGTGGTAATGTAAGAGGATCTCACCTTCAAGGATCACAACAATGCCACTATCACATCTGCTAGGAAACTGATAGGATGGATAATGAGAACATTCAAGACAAGAGATGCTAAGCCCAAAGATGATCCTTTTTAAATCACTTATTCTTTCTAGGCTGGAATACTGCTGTACATTAACATCCCTATTCAAGGCAGGTGAAATTGCAGAGCTAGAGAATGTACAGAGAACCTTTACTGCACGTATAAGTTCCATCAAACACCTTAACTACTGGGAGCGCCTGGAAGCACTTGACTTGTACTCACTACAGCGCAGGCGAGAGAGATATATCATAATCTACATCTGGAAGATTCTGGAAGGACTGGTCCCTAATATGCACACAGCAATCACTCCATACGAAAGCAAAAGACTTGGCAGGCAATGCAACATACCCCCAGTGAAAAGTAGGGGCGTCACTGGTACACTAAGAGAAAACACAATAAGTGTCCGGGGCCCAAGACTGTTCAACAGCCTCCCACCAGCAATAAGGGGCATTACGGCAAGACCCCTGGTTGTCTTCAAGAGGGAGCTGGACAGATACCTAAAGACGGTGCCGGATCAGCCGGGCTGTGGTTCGTACGTTGGATTACATGCAGCCAGCAGTAACAGCCTCGTTGATCAGGCCCTGATCCACCGGGAGGCCTTGTCGTGGACCGGGCCGTGGGGACGTTGATCCCCGGAATTCCCTCCAGGTAGACTCCAGGTAGGGTCCTTGGATATCTTATCAAATGATGTTTCAATTACTTAGGGCTTTCTTCTTCCTTTCAACAAACCGGTCATATCCCACTGAAGCAGGGTGGCCCAAAAAGAAAAACAAATTTTCTTTTTTAACTTTATTAATGTGTACAGGTGAAGTGGTTGCTAGTCCCTTAGTCCCGGCATTTTAGTCGCCTCTTATGACACGCATGGCTTACGGAGGAAGAATTTTGTTCCACTTCCCCATGGAGATAAGAGGAAATAAACGAGAACTAGTAAGAAAATGGAAGAAATCGCAGAGGGGTGTGTATATATATGCTTGTACATAAAAGTGCAGTGTGTATATATATGCTTGTACATAAAAGTGCAGTGTGACCTAAGTGCAAGCAGAAGTAGCAAGACATACCTGAAATCTAGAATGTTTATGAAACAGAAAAAAAAGACACCAGCAATTCTACCATCACATAAAATAATTACAGGCTTCCATTTTACACTCACTTGGCAGGATGGTAGTATCTCCCTGGGCAGTTGCTGTCTACCAACCTACTACCTACAACTAGGGGCTTTATCAGTCTAAAATAGACACAAGAGAATGGAGTCTTTTACAGTGGCACTGGTGCTAGTAGTGGAACAATGCAGCAGTAGAAGATGTGGTCACATGTGGGTGGGGTCCATTAGTAGAAGTAGGTCAGGCCCACAAGAAAGGTCAGAGATTGAGCAACTGTATTACAGAGATATCCTCTAAGCTCCTACAAGGAAGCTAATGATCAAATCTCTGCCCCACCTTATGGGCCCAACTCACTTCCACTAGTGGGCTCCATCCACATGTGACCACATCTTTGGCTGCTGCACTGTGTGTGTCTCTAAGTCTACTACTTCTGCATCACTATTCCTCCCACTGGCTCCACTACTTGATTGGCCACTAGCTGCTCCGCTTACTTATTACCACGACTACTACTGATGTACTGTATTTTCTCACATATAAGGTGCGCGAGTATATAAGACGATGTTTCCAAGAGGTTGGAACATAATGTTTGCAAACAACTGCTAAAGTGTAACCCCAAGCCTACCCTTGACCCTGACTTTGAACATATAAGGTGCAGGATGATTTTCCAAGTCTTTTTATAGGGAAAAGTGTGTGCTTTATTTGCCAGAAAATATGGTATTTTCCCACCTCCCTTAAAAAAAGTGTTCTCACATCTCTGTAATATACTGATAAAGTCCCTGGTGGGCAAAAAGTCCCTCAAAGATACTCAGGTATTGAACATGTGTTGAATTTAATGACATGAAAAATTATAATCATAAGGATTTACACTACTCAATTTCAATAGAATTAGTTCTCTAAGCATAATGTGCAGACATTTTTAAAGTTTCAATATAATGAGGCATTCTCAAGCAGCAATCTGGAGACTAAACATGAGAGAAAAATACATCAACATGGGGTATACCTAATTAATGACCATCGTAAAATATCTACACCTATGACACTTTTTATTATTATTTTTTTTTTTTTGGGGGGGGGGGGGGGGTATGCTGTTTACCTTAATGATGAAAGGTTAATGACAGAGACATTATGGTATACTGCTCCAGGGCTCAAAACAAAAATAAATATATCAACACTGTCAATGTTCATGCTGCACAAGTATGCACAGGCAGAAAAGCAAAACTTCCCCAACAAAAGATATATGTAATCTTACCTTGGGCTTTGTAAAAATGAAACTTTTGGTTGCACATTTGGTTTATGGGAATGTCCTGGTTTCAAAAAGGCAATCTCATTATGATGAAGATACATTGCCCAAAGCTTGAATACAACCTGCTTGAAGTGAGGTGATGCTCCAAGACCACACAGTGCTTGAGTCCATTCATGAAGAATAATATTATATGCTTCATATGATGTCCAATTATTTAATTCTTTCTCTGAAAAAATAAAAACAATGTCACCCAAGACAAAATAAAGACTACAGAAAAAAGAATACATACCTATATATCTTTGAACTAAAAAAGAGAAGAAGAGAAACTTTATAAAACTGGGATGCTTGAATGTGCGTGGATGCAGTGCAGACGACAAGAAACAGATGATTGCTGATGCTATGAATGAAAAGAAGTTGGATGTCCTGGCCCTAAGTGAAACAAAGCTGAAGGAGGTAGGGGAGTTTCGGTGGGGGGAAATAAATGGGATTAAATCTGGAGTATCTGAGAGAGTTAGAGCAAAGGAAGGGGTAGCAGTAATGTTGAAGGATCAGTTATGGAAGGAGAAAAGAGAATATGAATGTGTAAATTCAAGAATTATGTAAATTAAAGTAAAGGTTGGATGCGAAAAGTGGGTCATAATAAGCGTGTATGCACCTGGAGAAGAGAGGAATGTAGAGGAGAGAGAGATTTTGGGAGATGTTAAGTGAATGTATAGGAGCCTTTGAACCAAGTGAGAGAGTAATTGTGGTAGGGGACCTGAATGCTAAAGTAGGAGAAACTTTTAGAGAGGGTGTGGTAGGTAAGTTTGGGGAGCCAGGTGTAAATGATAATGGGAGCCCTTTGACTGAACTTTGTATAGAAAGGGGTTTAGTTATAGGTAATACATACTTTTGTTTAATAAATGTATGAAAGAGGGGAAGGTACCTAGGGATTGGCAGAGAGCATGTATAGTCCCTTTATATAAAGGGAAAGGGGACAAAAGAGATTGTAAAAATTATAGAGGAATAAGTTTACTGAGTATACCAGGAAAAGTATACGGTAGGGTTATAATTGAAAGAATTAGAGGTAAGACTGAATGTAGAATTGCGGACGAGCAAGGAGGCTTCAGAGTGGGTAGGGGATGTGTAGATCAAGTGTTTACATTGAAGCATATATGTGAACAGTATTTAGATAAAGGTAGGGAAGTTTTTATTGCATTTATGGATTTAGAAAAGGCATATGATAGAGTGGATAGAGGAGCAATGTGGCAGATGTTGCAAGTATATGGAATAGGTGGTAAGTTACTAAATGCTGTAAAGAGCTTTTATGAGGATAGTGAGGCTCAGGTTAGGGCGTGTAGAAGAGAGGGAGAATACTTCCCGGTAAAAGTAGGTCTTAGACAGGGATGTGTAATGTCACCATGGTTGTTTAATATATTTATAGATGGGGTTGTAAAAGAAGTAATTGCTAGGGTGTTCGGGAGAGGGGTGGGATTAAATTATGGGGAATCAAATTCAAAATGGGAATTGACACAGTTACTTTTTGCTGATGATACTGTGCTTATGGGAGATTCTAAAGAAAAATTGCAAAGGTTAGTGGATGAGTTTGAGAATGTGTGTAAAGGTAGAAAGTTGAAAGTGAACATAGAAAAGAGTAAGGTGATGAGGGTATCAAATGATTTAGATAAAGAAAAATTGGATATCAAATTGGGGAGGAGGAGTATGGAAGAAGTGAATGTTTTCAGATACTTGGGAGTTGACGTGTCGGCGGATGGATTTATGAAGGATGAGGTTAATCATAGAATTGATGAGGGAAAAAAGGTGAGTGGTGCGTTGAGGTATATGTGGAGTCAAAAAACATTATCTATGGAGGCAAAGAAGGGAATGTATGAAAGTATAGTAGTACCAACACTCCTATATGGATGTGAAGCTTGGGTGGTAAATGCAGCAGCGAGGAGACGGTTGGAGGCAGTGGAGATGTCCTGTCTAAGGGCAATGTGTGGTGTAAATATTATGCAGAAAATTCGGAGTGTGGAAATTAGGAGAAGGTGTGGAGTTAATAAAAGCATTAGTCAGAGGGCAGAAGAGGGGTTGTTGAGGTGGTTTGTTCATTTAGAGAGAATGGATCAAAGTAGAATGACATGGAAAGCATATAAATCTATAGGGGAAGGAAAGAGGGGTAGGGGTCGTCCTCGAAAGGGTTGGAAAGAGGGGGTAAAGGAGGTTTTGTGGGCTAGGGGCTTGGATTTCCAGCAAGCGTGCATGAGCGTGTTAGATAGGAGTGAATGGAGACGAATGATACTTGGGACCTGACGATCTGTTGGAGTGTGAGCAGGGTAATATTTAGTGAAGGGATTCAGGGAAACCGGTTATTTTCATATAGTCGGACTTGAGTCCTGGAAATGGGAAGTACAATGCCTGCACTTTAAAGGAGGGGTTTGGGATATTGGCAGTTTGGAGGGATATGTTGTGTATCTCTATACGTATATGCTTCTAAACTGTTATATTCTGAGCACCTCTGCAAAAGCAGTGATAATGTGTGTGTGGTGAAAGTGTTGAATGATGATGAAAGTATTTTCTTTTTGGGGATTTTCTTTCTTTTTTTTTGGGTCACCCTGCCTCGGTGGGAGACGACCGACTTGTTGAAAAAAAAAACATATTTTAAGAAAAAGAGGATAAATAAGTATACAAGATATGATGTAGGGCGAAATGACAGTAGTTCGTTGGATTATGTATTGGTAGATAAAAGACTGTTGAGTAGACTTCAGGATGTACATGTTTATAGAGGGGCCACAGATATATCAGATCACTTTCTAGTTGTAGCTACACTGAGAGTAAAAGGTAGATGGGATACAAGGAGAATAGAAGCATCAGGGAAGAGAGAGGTGAAGGTTTATAAACTAAAAGAGGAGGCAGTTAGGGAAAGATATAAACAGCTATTGGAGGATAGATGGGCTAATGAGAGCATAGGCAATGGGGTCGAAGAGGTATGGGGTAGGTTTAAAAATGTAGTGTTAGAGTGTTCAGCAGAAGTCTGTGGTTACAGGAAAGTGGGTGCGGGAGGGAAGAGGAGCGATTGGTGGAATGATGATGTAAAGAGAGTAGTAAGGGAGAAAAAGTTAGCATATGAGAAGTTTTTACAAAGTAGAAGTGATGCAAGGAGGGAAGAGTATATGGAGAAAAAGAGAGAGGTTAAGAGAGTGGTGAAGCAATGTAAAAAGAGAGCAAATGAGAGAGTGGGTGAGATATTATCAACAAATTTTGTTGAAAATAAGAAAAAGTTTTGGAGTGAGATTAACAAGTTAAGGAAGCCTAGAGAACAAATGGATTTGTCAGTTAAAAATAGGAGAGGAGAGTTATTAAATGGAGAGTCAGAGGTATTGGGAAGATGGAGGGAATATTTTGAGAAACTGTTAAATGTTGATGAAGATAGGGAAGCTGTGATTTCGTGTATAGAGCAAGGAGGAATAACATCTTGTAGGAGTGAGGAAGAGCCAGTTGTGAGTGTGGGGGAAGTTCGTGAGGCAGTAGGTAAAATGAAAGGGGGTAAGGCAGCCAGGATTGATGGGATGAAGATAGAAATGTTAAAAGCAGGTGGGGATATAGTTTTGGAGTGGTTGGTGCAATTATTTAATAAATGTATGGAAGAGGGTAAGGTACCTAGGGATTGGCAGAGAGCATGCATAGTTCCTTTGTATAAAGGCAAAGGGGACAAAAGAGAGTGCAAAAATTATAGGGGGATAAGTCTGTTGAGTATACCTGGTAAAGTGTATGGTAGAGTTATTACTGAAAGAATTAAGAGTAAGACGGAGAATAGGATAGCAGATGAACAAGGAGGCTTTAGGAAAGGTAGGGGGTGTGTGGACCAGGTGTTTACAGTGAAACATATAAGTGAACAGTATTTAGATAAGGCTAAAGAGGTCTTTGTGGCATTTATGGATTTGGAAAAGGCGTATGACAGGGTGGATAGGGAGGCAATGATGCAGATGTCAGGTGTATGGTGTAGGAGGTAGGTTACTGAAAGCAGTGAAGAGTTTTTACGAAGATAGTGAGGCTCAAGTTAGAGTATGTAGGAAAGAGGGAAATTATTTCCCAGTAAAAGCAGGCCTTAGACAAGTATGTGTGATGTCACCGTGGTTGTTTAATATATTTATAGATGGGGTTGTAAGAGAAGTAAATGCGAGGGTCTTGGCAAGAGGCGTGGAGTTAAAAGATAAAGAATCACACATAAAGTGGGAGTTGTCACAGTTGCTCTTTGCTGATGGCACCGTGCTCTTGGGAGATTCTGAAGAGAAGTTGCAGAGATTGGTGGATGAATTTGGTAGGGTGTGCAAAAGAAGAAAATTAAAAGTGAATACAGGAAAGAGTAAGGTTATGAGGATAACAAAAAGATTAGGTGATGAAAGATTGGATATCAGATTGGAGGGAGAGAGTATGGAGGAGGCGAATGCATTCAGATATTTGGGAGTGGACGTGTCAGCGGATGGGTCTATGAAAGATGAGGTGAATCATAGAACTGATAAGGGGAAAAGGGTGAGTGGTGCACTTAGGAGTCTGTAGAGACAAAGAACTTTGTCCTTGGAGGCAAAGAGGGGAATGTATGAGAGTATAGTTTTACCAACGCTCTTATATGGGTGTGAAGCATGGGTGATGAATGTTGCAGCGAGGAGAAGGCTGGAGGCAGTGGAGATGTCATGTCTGAGGGCAATGTGTGGTGTGAATATAATGCAGAGAATTCGTAGTTTGGAAGTTAGGAGGAGGTGCGGGATTACCAAAACTGTTGTCCAGAGGGCTGGAAGGGTTGTTGAGGTGGTTCGGACATGTAGAGAGAATGGAGCGAAAGAATGACTTCAAGAGCGTATCAGTCTGTAGTGGAAGGAAGGCGGGGTAGGGGTCAGCCTAGGAAAGGTTGGAGGGAGGGGGTAAAGGAGGTTTTGTGTGCGAGGGGCTTGGACTTCCAGCAGGCATGCGTGAGCGTGTTTGATAAGAGTGAATGGAGACAAATGGTTTTTAATACTTGACGTACTGTTGGAGTGTGAGCAAAGTAACATTTATGAAGGGGTTCAGGGAAACCAGCAGGCCGGACTTGAGTCCTGGAGATGGGAAGTACAGTGCCTGCACTCTGAAGGAGGGGTGGTAATGTTGCAGTTTAAAAACTGTAGTGTAAAGCACCCTTCTGGCAAGACAGTGATGGAGTGAATGATGGTGAAAGTTTTTCTTTTTCGGGCAACCCTGCCTTGGTGGGAATCGGCCAGTGTGATAATAATAAAAAAAAATATCTTGTGTGCCACCCAAGACCTCAAGAGTGCACAGTCTAGCTATGTACTGTGTCTTTCAACACTAGAAATATTAGAACTTTATGCACACCTGTACTGTCACCTTAGACAGCATAAACACAAAGCTACAAGCACTTCAATAACATATTATACCACTGTGTGTGTCACCTTAGACAGCATGAACTCTTAGAATTATTAGTGTGCCAAAGTATAGGTGGCTACTGGCCTAAAACCGAGTATTAGTTGGTATCGATCAATTCTGATAACTTCACACCCTAGTTCTGTCAAGGGACTCTAGCTTCTATGGACACCATGTGGCAAAATTTCCTATGAGATCTAACCTTGGGCAAGAAGCTATGGGTGGGAGGGGATGGAGGTCTTTATAAGCTCAAGGAAAGTAGCTAAGAGAAGACCTGGAGAGCAGCCATGGCTGGGGACAGAGCTGAAACTCAATGAGAAGTCTTGGGACCCGGAGCTATAAGCCTGGCTGGTCTTCTAGGTGTGATCTACTCAAGACGGTTTTATACTGCTCATGAATACTTGTTTAAGTCCAGTTTATTGTATTTCCCTATCTCAGTTATTTTGCATCTTCCCAAGTTATCTTATCAGATCCTTTGACCAAGTATATTATTGTAATAAGTATTAATAAATTAAAAGATTGTAAAATATTGTATTCACTTTCCCCATCTTTAATTTGCTGTTCTGCATAAGACTGATCTGCAAGTACCTAGTAATGTGGAAGTGAATCAAGTCATCAACAGTATGTAGTGAGGCGAGATGGTATCCTTACTGTCTTAACTCATTACTCATGTTGCCTCATACCAAGGCAAGATGGGTCTAATTCACTTACCTGTGATATGACACCCTATCCCTTTTTTGAAGACGAGTTGGACATCTTACCATTCCCTAAGGCATGGCTGGACAGACAACCGACAGTCACTTGGCCGACAGACATTTGACCAAAGGACAACTGGCTAAACGAGCATTGCACTGACAGCCATTTGGCCAAATGGATAATAGACCGAACAGATAGTTAGGTTGAGTTGGGTTGGGTTAGGTTAAGGTGATAAATACCAGTTCAACCATATGTCTATTTGGTGAACTGTCTGTTGGTGAAATGTCCATTCGGTCAAATATCCTTCGGTGAGATGTCTGGCAGCCAAATATCCGGGAGCTCATTACAGTGTGGATGTTTACCCTGATGAACTAAGCATGCACTGTCGTTGTGGATCCTACAGCACATCTGGTAAATCTAAAAATAGTGTTTCAACACCTAAGCAAGAATGTCAAGAAATTGGAGAGGGGTTAAGATCACATTAACCAATGTAATGCTGGTCACAACCACCAAAGAAATAGTGTATGCTCTGACAATAATACTGTCCTGGCTGTTATGCCCTGTTTAAGATAGCCATGACTGTACACATATTTTGTATGAGAAGAGACCTTAATAAAGCAATTGGATTTTGTCATAAAAGTGAAAAGATAATACCCATAAAGATCACCAGGAAATACTAAACCTTAATCCTTTTGACCACATCAAAATATTTCAAATTCATTTAACTTTAGACCACATACATATATCTATAAATATTTTCCCCTTTAAATTGAATTTAACTTTCCATTTTTAAAATGGTGATGTGAAAAGCTGAAATGCCTAATGAAAGGAAAACTCTAGATGAATATAGACTAAAGAGGAACAGCCCTTTTCAAAAACAAAAAATGACTTCAATCAAATAATCCGATTTTAATTTGCTTAACTTAAACAATATATTATTCACAGAATCACTGGATATACTTTACCTTCTTCAACACTTTTTGTTTCACCTTCATTCACAATCTTTTTAGATAAACGTGAACGATCCACTTCGGAGATACATTCTTGACTTTGAAGTTCAATATAGCCTTGCTTTTCTACTCCACACTGGTCACATATCATGAGACCACCACTTAGGCTAAATGAAGTTCCACCACATTCACTACACTTATTCATTGTGGAATGCCTGCCTGCACAGAAAATTAAGCTATTAGTAAATTTTTAACAAATAAGACCTTGCTATATAAATGAGACAAGTTTCTGGAAGACCGCATGAAAAACACCAAAACTATTATAATATAATGTACATATATGGCAAACTCCTAGGCAGTAGGTTGGTAGACAGCAACCGCCCAGGGAGGTACTACCGTCCTGCCAAGTGAGTGTAAAACGAAAGCCTGTAATTGTTTTACATGATGGTAGGATTGCTGGGTTTTCTTCTATTTTCTTTCTAGTTCTTGTTCTTGTTTATTTCCTCTTATCTCCATGGGGAAGTGGAATAGAATTCTTCCTCCGTAAGCCATGCGTGTTGTAAGAGGCAACTAAAATGCCGGGAGCAAGGAGCTAGTAACCCCTTCTCCTGTATATATTACTAAATGTAAAAGGAGAAACTTTTGTTTTTCCTTTTGGGCCACCCCACCTCAGTGGGATACGGCCGGTGTGTTGAAAGAAAGAAAGAATATGGCAAACTTCTAGAATGGACTGTCCCATGCAAGGCTAGTATCATTCACAGCATATATCATATAACGTGTTAAAGTATTGAGTTTTATTCATGTAGTGCTAGACTTTCAAGTAATTTTGATTATACTATTGTAAAGTTTTTAAAGTGATTTTTTAAGCAAAAATTTGCATAAAAGTGTTTTATCAAAAAATGTAAAGAAAATAATTTTTATAAATAATGTACTATACAGTAATGTTCACTAAAGAGTTCGTCAAAATTGCGCAGCAATAAATTAATGTAATAACTATTAAATTACTTTCGTTTTTCCTTTTGGGCCACCCCACCTCGGTGGGATACGGCCGGTGTGTTGAAAGAAAGAACTATTAAATTGAAATTAAAAGCTAAAATATTTCAAACTGAAATAAACACCATCTTGTGGCATCATGTTTTAATTTTTTTAATTTGATCTATGCATATATAAACATTCCTAAAGTTTTATTATAACTAAAAATTTAAGTTTATTGTTTCTTTAAAATACAGTACAGTACACATTATAACTAGTAATGCTTATTTGAAATACAACTTTGCACAACAGCATTATTTTTTATGAGAAAAAGATTTTTGCATAGTGCTCTTTCACTTAACCCTGTCCTCTGAAAATTAATGAAGAGTAAATATTATGCAGAGAATAAGGAACACAGAAATTAGATGATGACAATGTGGTATGAAAGGAAGAGAACAGAGAAGAGTTGTCAAAGACTGTTTGGTCAGGCCTCATTTGGATTATGCTGTGCAGTTCTGGTCACCGTATTACAGAATGGATATAAATGCATTGGAAAACATACAGAGGAGGATGACAAAGATGATCCCATGTATCAGGAATCTTCCCTATGAGGATAGACTGAGGGCCCTGAATCTGCACTCTCTCGAAAGGCATAGAATTATGGGGATATGATCGAGGTGTATAAATGGAAAACAGGAATAAATAAAGGGGATTTAAATAGCGTGCTGAAAATTTCCCGCCAAGACAATACTCGCAGCAATGCTTTCAAGTTGGAAAAATTCAGATTCAGGAAGGATATAGGAAAGCACTGGTTTGGTAATAGAGTTGTGGATGAGTGGAACAAACTCCCGAGTACAGTCATTGAGGCTAAAACGTTGTGTAGTTTAAAAATAGGTTAGATAAATACATGAGTGGGTGTGGGTGGGTGTGAGTTGGACCTGACTAACTTGTGCTACTAGGTCTGATGCAGTGCTCCTTCCTTAAGTGGAAGTGACCTGATTAGGTGGGTCATTGGGATAATCCGGGGGGTAGGGGGACACGGACCTGCTTTCGCATGGGTCAGTAGGCCTACTGCAGTGTTCCTTCTTTCTTATGTTCTTATTTAGAAAAGATGGCACAAAACAGGATGACCAAGAGGGTGTATAAATTTGAGATGCAGAGAGGTAGGGGTCATCCAAGGAAAGGTTGGCAGGAGGGAGGTGAAGGAGATTTCGAGTAGTAAAGTTTGAGCTACCAGCAGACATGTGTGAGCCTATTAAATCAAAGTGGACACAATAATCTTATGGATTTGATATGTCACTGGTGTGCTAGCAAGGTAACATTTATGAAGGGATTCAGGGGAAACCATAACATTAGCCAAACTTTACTCCTGGCAGTGGGAAGTACAGAGCCAGAACTATGAAGGACTGTCTAAGGGTCTTTAACCCATAAACGGTCCATAAACATATACGTATTTAGGTTTCATTTTTCATTCCTTCAAAATTGGCGTGATAGGCCTGAGTCACCTAGACATGAGAGAAAGGTTGTGCGCAGTCAGTGTGTGCCATATGGAAAAAATCGGGGACGCCTGGGTACCGCATGGTAGGACCAGTTACATTCAGCTCCATCTTGGGTCAACATCATGGCACATCCTCGTGATTCACTCACGCCTCGTCGTATTAGCACTATCATTCGAGGAAAGTGATACAGAACGTCAGTTTAGTGGATCTTACGCAGATGTGGCTACTAATAATCAAGGAAATTGTGAAAATATAGACGATAACCCAGGTGACCTTCAGCCCATCACCTCTGGGGTGGCCAGTGTGGCCACACCAGACCCTAGGCCAAGCACTTCTGGAGTGGCCAGTGTGACCACACAAGACCCTGGGCCAAGCACCTCTGGAGTGGCGAGTGTTACCCATAGGCAACTACGCAAGAGGAAACTATCATTTTCCCAGTGTTTTAGTGGTAGTGAAAGTATGTAAGCGACAATGAGATTGATTTTATGCCATTAGAGGATTCATCTAGTGATAGTGATCATTATTCACCAGTGAAGTGTACTTTTAGGCATCGTTGCCTACGTTCAGGAAGTGTGCCATTTGCAGTCGGTGGCAAGGGTCGTGGCAAGTCACGATCCAAAACCCCGGCTACTGATAGTGAAAGTGATCATGAAGGTGAATATGCGTTGATGGAGGAAATAGTGGTGGGTGGCACAGTGCCTGGACCACATGGTGCGGTGGGTGGACAGACAAAGGACTGCCGGCATCCCCTCAACCATGTGCTGCCTCCACGCCTGTCCCCCTTCCTGCTCCCCCACGCCCCATGCCAGAGGTCCACCCTGCACCATGTGACCGAGAGTGGAACTGGACACAAAGTATATTCATGCCACAGCCTTTTGATTTTGATGCGAGTGGAAGTGGCATTCTGCCAGAATGTCCCATAATGAATGAGTCTACAGAGTTAGACTTTTTCCAGTTATATTTTGACAAACCTGTAATGAACTTGATAGTGACCCAGACGAACAATTATTACCACTATATCATGGACAATACAGCAGAGGTTGGGGAATTGTCACGGCTGTGCAGATGGAAAGATACAACAGTGGCTGATATGTTTTTATTCCTTGCCACTGTCATGCTTATGCCACATACCTACAAGAGCAATATACGTAACTACTGGGCCACAGACTACTTTATCAGTGCTCCTGTTTTCCATGACCTCTTTCCCTGCAACAGATTCACTCTGTTGCTACGAATGTTGCACTTCTCAGACAGGAATAGGCCCAACAGAAATGACCTTCTATACAAAATCCAGGAAGTGTTTATCTATATGAAGCAGAAATTCAGTGCCTACTTTTATCCCTTCAAGAACATTGTTGCTGATGAGTCCTTGATTCTGTTCAAGGGACGACTGTCATTCAAGCAATATATACCGAGAAAACGTCATCGCTTTGGTATAAAACTTTTTGTTATGTGCGACTGTGAAAGTGGTCTTGTGTTGGATGTGACTGTATAAACTGGGAAAAACACACTTGACGATACCAGGCGCATGTTGGGCATTTCTGGTGATGTTGTTCGAAAAATGATGGAACTATACCTTGGCAGGGGCCATATGTTGTTCACAGACAACTGGTATACAAGCCCTATGCTCGCTGATTTCCTACGTGTGAACAATACTGATATATGTGGAACAGTGAGAAGGAATAGAAAACATATGCCAAGGTTCAGTGGAGGCAGTGTTCAAGGTGCAGTGCAAGCATTTCATGCCAATGACATCATGGCACTGACATGGTATGACAAACAGGACGTGACATTGCTGTCAACCATCCACAGAAACGAGATGGTACAAAGAGACAAAGTGAACAGGGAGACCAATGAATATATTGTCAAGCCAGCTGCTGTTGTCGACTATACGAGCAATATGCGACTAGTTGACAAGTGTGACATGATGATAGGGTTCGTTGACTGTGTGTGTGTAGGAGTCGCAAGTGGTATATAAAACTGTTTTTCCACCTTGTAGGCATTGCAGTGCTCAATGCATTCAATATGTACGAAATAAAGACTGGAAAACGACGTTTTAGCAGAATTCTCCATGAATGTCATAAAACAGATAGCAAAAAAGTATGGTACCACACCTGTACCTGCTCCTCAACAGCAACCTGTCACACCATAACCTGTCCCCCAGCCTCAACCACAGCCAGTGGGGGAAGTGCCAGACCGAATCATCTCTGTCACTACCTGGTACCAATACCACCTACCCCAAAGAAGAAGCATTCCCAAAGAAAGTATGTTGTGTGTGCTACCACCAGAAAACGACCCCAACAGCGGAAGGACACATGATACATATGTCACCAGTGTGGGGTGGCACTCTGTATGATCCATGCTTCATGGAGTATCATACAATTGTGGAGTTCAAGAAACATAAGTGGGACATGTAAATATTTACATAAAATATTTACAAAAAATCCATTTTATAGATAATAAAAATAGTTTTGCTTACAGAAATGGCACTACTAAATTTGAGGGTCCACTGTACTTGTATATAGTTGTAGATAATAGTGTGTGATTAAGCCAGGTGTGCAAAATCACCTATCAGTGTGTACATGTGGGTTTGTGACAGTATAATAATTTTGTATATATTATTGGTGTATAAGCAACAATTGGCATGGAAATCAAAAGATGTACTATAAAACATAAGTATCATATCATGAAAACCATGCAAGTGGCAGTGCTCCATGTTGCTGTCAGGTGATCAAGTGCCAAGTTCACGACCTCATATCTCGGTAAGTACTGACCCTAAAAAATTTTTTTAGCCTATAACACTAAGAAAAATGTGCTCTTTTTTTTCCTATAAAAAAAATTATTTTCCAAAATATTCGGGGTACTGGGGTAGTGAACGTATATGTATATGTGAGGGCTCTAGTGGCCTGGTGGTTAACGCTCTCGCTTCACACGGCGAGGGCCTGGGTTCGATTCCCAGCCAGAGTAGAAACATTGGACGTGTTTCTTTCCACCTGTTGTCTATGTTCCCCATCAGTAAAATGGGTACCTGGGTGTTAGTCGACTGGTGTGGGTCGCATCCTGGGACACTGACCTAAGGAGGCCTGGTCACAGACCGGGGGCGTTGACCCCCGGAACTCTCTCCAGGTACGTTTGGACCGTTTATGGGTTAAAACCATAATATCTGCAAATTTTTTCAAGACAACAATTGAAGTAATGTTTGTGAATGTTTCCTTCCGTGGGTTACCCTACTTTGGTGAGAAACAGCAATGTTCCATTGCAAGAATGAAGATTATTTTATGACATAAAATATTAGGATTGATATGTACATGTGCCTGGATGGACTTAATGAGATGAAGAACATGAGGATACCAATGGACTTAAATCCTTAAGAAATAATATGGATATTCTAAATTATCGTATGTCACTTTTATCTACAATAACAGTAATGATTATGCACAATATGCAATTTCTAGGTTGAAATACAAATTTCTTATATATATATATATATATGTGTGCAACACAAAGAGCAAAAAGAAAAAGGAAAAAAGAAGAAAAGGTGGCAGTAGTAGTACAACTAATAATTAGTTTCATATCTTTATAATACACCCATAGTAGTAGTTTAATATCTTTATTATACACCCATAGTAGTAGTTTAATATCTTTATTATAATACACCCATAGTAGTAGTTTAATATCTTTATTATACACCCATAGTAGTAGTTTAATATCTTTATTATACACCCATAGTAGTAGTTTAATATCTTTATTATACACCCATAGTAGTAGTTTAATATCTTTATTATACACCCTAATAGTAGCAATAGTACTAACAGTAGTACCAGTAGTGCTATTAGTAGTAGTACTAGTAGTAATACTAGAACTAGCTGTACTAGTACTACTAATAGTAGCACTAGAAGCAGTAGTAATAGTATTACTAGTACTAATAGTAGTACTAGAACTAGTAGTACTAACTGCAGTAATAGTAATGGTGGTAGTAGTAGTAGTAGTAGTACTAGTACAAGAAGCAGTAGTACTAGTAACAGATATAGTAGTAATGCTGCTGATGTTTATATATAATGGTATTCTTGTCATTTTGATGACAATACACCACAGCTTGAGTACTGAGTATATGCTGTGGACCTGTATGCCTGTACAATATATAATGCACATAGTGTAACTTTGTAAATGGTCCAAGTTGGACCGAAACGTCATCATAAGCTCCTCTCTCTCTTACGTGCGGGTTACTGGTGTACAGTAGAATACCTGTATCCATGGATTCAGTTCCCGCAGTTTCAGTTATCCACAGTTTACTGGAGTTTACCTGGAGAGAGTTCCGGGGATCAACACCCCCGCGCCCCGGTCTGTGACCAGGCCTCCTGGTGGATCAAAGCCTGATCAACCAGGCTGTTACTGCTGGCTGCACGCAAACCAACGTACAAGCCACAGCCCAGCTGGTCAGGTACCGACTTTAGGTGCTTGTCCAGTGCCAGCTTGAAGACTGCCAGGGGTCTATTGGTAATCCCCTTATGTATGCTGGGAGGCAGTTGAACAGTCTCGGGCCCCTGACACTTATTGTATGGTCTCTTAACATGCTAGTGACACCCCTGCTTTTCACTGGGGGGATGTTGCATCGTCTGCCAAGTCTCTTGCTTTCATAGCGAGTGATTTTCATGTGCAAGTTCGGTACTAGTCCCTCTAGGATTTTCCAGGTGTATATAATCATGTATCTCTCCCGCCTGCGTTCCAGGGAATACAGGTTCAGGAACCTCAAGCGCTCCCAGTAATTGAGGTGTTTTATCTCCGTTATGCGCGCCGTGAAGGTTCTCTGTACATTTTCTAGGTCAGCAATTTCACCTGCCTTGAAAGGTGCTGTTAGTGTGCAGCAATATTCCAGCCTAGATAGAACAAGTGACCTGAAGAGTGTCATCATGGGCTTGGCATCCCTAGTTTTGAAGGTTCTCATTATCCATCCTATCATTTTTCTAGCAGCTGCAATTGATACAATGTTATGGTCCTTGAAGGTGAGATCCTCCAACATGATCACTCCCAGGTCTTTGACGTTGGTGTTTCGCTCTATTTTGTGGCCAGAATTTGTTTTGTACTCTGATGAAGATTTAATTTCCTCGTGTTTACCATATCTGTGACCAAAAAAAAAAAAAAAAAAAAAAAGACCTTAATTCTGCTAGATAATTCAAATTCAAAGTTTATTCTCTATAAGGATTATAATGGAACCAAAGCACAAAAGTAGTGATGGTGACAGTTCATCAAAGCCTAAAAGTAGCTGTGAATTGCTTCCCATCAGTGAAAAAACGATAATTCTCGACTTAGTGAGCAATTTATCAATTAAACTTTATCACAGATATGCATGTAAATGAAAAATAATATATATAGGGTTTGCTAATATCCACCATTTCAGGTATCCATGTTAGGCCACATCAGTTTCACTCATGATGGAAATCAAGCCCAAGTTCTTCACTGATGAGCTGAAACTGTTACATAAGAACATAAGAAAGAAGTAACACTGCAACAGGCCTACTGGCCCATGCGAGGCAGGTTCAAGTCTCCTACCGGCTTAAGCCAATGCCCTAACCTAATTAGGTCAGGTCACATTCACTTGAACCACCAGACACAGGGATTATAAACGTACTAGTATACATGATGTATGCATGTATACATACCAAGGCAGTCTTCAAATAACACACACGGATGTTATTACCTTTCACTTGGAAGCGTCAAACCTGTGAGGGGGGGGCCACAAAGCACCTGGGGGAAGAGATAATCAAGTCTGATCCGAGGAAAAGGAAGGAGAGCTATAATTCCCTTGAACGATGAATAGGTGGCCCGGTGGCCTGGTGGCTAAAGCTTCCGCTTCACACACGGAGGGCCCAGGTTCGATTCCCGGCGGATGGAAACATTTCGACACGTTTCCTTACACCTGTTGTCCTGTTCACCTAGCAGCAAATAGGTACCTGGGTGTTAGTCGACTGGTGTGGGTCGCATCCTGGGGGACAAGATTAAGGACCCCAATGGAAATAAGTTACAGTCCTCGATGACGCACTGACTTTCTTGGGTTATCCTGGGTGGCTAACCCTCCGGGGTTAAAAATCCGAACGAAATCTTATCTTATCTTATCTTAACAGCCGAGGAAACACGAGAACACCTCAGTAAGTTCTTTGTGAAATTGAACGGATATCCTTACACTAGCACACATCTTTACATATATCTATAATAACTAAATGATACATACAACATATATGAATGTACCATTAATGGTAAAAAAAAAAAAAAACGTATATTACGTTAGCGGTGTGGGAAGTTTTACATGTTGGCGAGGTCTTGTTGAGAGTTTCTAGGGCCAGTAGATGTGACCCCGTACTGAACCTTCCTCCTCTATTATTATTCAAATTCAAATTCAAAGTTTATTCTTTATAAGGATTACAATGCTGAGTTTACAGAATTTGGTTATTGTGTGGTTTACATGTAGTAAAATAATGATTACAGAGTGTACCACTAGAACGCCTAGCATGGCTAGGCATATCGGGTAGACTTAGTTTAATTCTTAATTTTAAAATATTACAAATTATGAGGTAAGTTGGTATTATGGCTAAGTGACTAAATACTAGTTTGTGAGTTTAGCAATGTGAATGCTTTTGTTTTGGCACAGTACATAGTTTCAGTATTGGAGTATCACAGGATTCATTATTTTAAGATTGAGATTAATATTTCTGTTTATGGTCAAATGAGTGAGTGAGTGTAAGTGTGAACCACTAGGTGGTATTCGTGTAGTTAGTTGACGGGGTGTATCAGGGAGATAAGATGTTTTCTAATGGTAGTTTTGAAGGTGATGAATGTGTCTGCAGTTCTAGAGTTCTCAGGTTGGGTGTTCCAGATTTTAGGGCCTTTGACATACATTGAATTTTTGTAAAGGTTTAGTCGGACACGGTGAATGTCGTAGAGATGTTTGTGTCTGGTGTTATGCCTGTGGGTTCTGTCACAACTATCAAGAAAGCGTTTTAGGTCAAGGTTGATATTGGAGTTTAAGGTCCTGTAGATGTAGATTGCACAGTAGTAAGTGTGGATGTGCTGAACAGGGAGTAAGTTTAGATAATAATAATAATAATAATAATAATAATAATAATAATAATAATAATAATAATAATAATAATAATAATTTTATTTACTACAAGTACATGTACAAGGTATATAGTCCTAGCTGACAACAATGACATACTACTATATAGAAACTCCCTTGTTATGCTCTGCATTTCGGGCAAATTAGGTCAGTGTCCCGGGATGCGACCCACACCAGTCGACTAACACCCAGGTACCCATTTTACTGATGGGGAACATAGACAACAGGTGGAAAGAAACACGTCCAATGTTTCTTATGGAAAATTTTCTAGGGTGCTTACCTGTATGTACCTCAACATTATATACATACCAGTAATCTCATTGGGAGACAACCATATTGTTTACCGTAGTCACCCCGTGTAGACATGTGAGAAAACTTAACCACCCCTGGTCGCGGCAAGTGGTTCCTTCGACCTCACAATCTTATCCATATCTATCCGAGACCAGTATGGATTGGATAGCACCCACAAGTACGGTGCTACTAATTAATTGTGGACTGTATAGATTATATTAGTGTAACTGAATGAAGGGGGGGGGGTAGGTTACACATGGATATATCCATCAAGGAAAACCACTTGTACATAATCTCTCCACTTACCAGATATTCTCTGGTGGTCACTTGATGTAGCTGGATCACTCATAACCTATCCAATTACAACATACCTAACTGGCCAGTATCAGTCTGCTATAACTAGAAGGGTTACTTAACTGTGGGTGATTGATACTCCTTATTTCCTCCATTCACCATCTCATTTCGATGTTCTGCTACACCGACACGGTTCTCATTCCAGCAGGACGAGGTATCCGTCGGTTTGTCCCGGTTTAGAAGTCGTGATTCCATAAAGCTTCATTATCCTCGGTACGAATCACACAGTCACTCGGAACACAGTCACTATTTCACATCCCGCATTCTCTTAACTCAATGTTATTATCACTGATTACATTACCATTCACAAGACGATTTAACCTCTCATAATTATTATACACATTAGAGGTCACTCCATTAAGATCTGAGGCCGATGAGCGAAGATTAACACACGTGTATTTCCCCTGGACACACACCATGGCCGTGCACCAGTCACACCCCGTCAAACCATTATTCACTAATTTTACCACCCTTTTACGGTGGTCCCGTAAATCACGTTCCCTCACTCTCCACCAGGAACAGTTACGACACTTCCTATTATGAAATGAGGCCTATATTAATCCTTAGGCCGCCGTGAATGCCAATTTCGTGGTTCCATGCTTTCCCAGCCTCCTCACCACATTCAAAACACTCCCGCCTTCCCATGGCCCGAGTCCACCTATCCCCCCGCACATCCGCACATGCGCAAAGGGAACTCTTGGTTCTACCCTATTGTCAAATACATTTTTGACTCATATCGACACATTAAACACCTATTAGGCGCTATAGCTTCGGAAAATCAAAAATTTTCCACATTTCTACTCTGGCTGGGAATCGAACCCAGGCCCTCACCGTGTGAAGCGAGAGCGTTAGCCACCAGGCCACCTATCTATGAAGAGTGGGGGGGGGTGTTGCCAGGGATGGGATTTAGTGATTATTCTTACTGCAGCTTTTTGTTGGGTTATTATTGGCTTTAGGTGTGTTGCTGCAGTTGATCCCCAAGCACAAATAGCATAGGTGAGGTATGGATAAATAAGTGAGTGGTATAGTGTGAGAAGGGCATTTTGCAGCACGTACTATCGTATCTTGGAGAGGATCCCCACCGTTTTGGATACTTTTTTGGTTATGTGTTGGATATGGGTGCTGAAATTCAGGTTGTTGTCAAGGTATAGGCCTAGGAATTTGCCCTCATTATGTCTGGTAATTAGAGTGTTGTCGATCTTAATGTTAATTTGTGCATCTCCTGCTCTGCTACCTAGTTCAGCTATCAAAACTTTGGGGGCCCAGTCCCTGGACCCATTACATACCTCTGTAATCTGTAAATACCTTTGTAACTTGTCATGATTGTGACCAGACCTACCTGGAGTTCATTACCTTTGTAAATTGTGAGTTCATTACCTTTGTAAATTGTGAGTTCATTACCTTTGTAAATTGTGAGTTCATTACCTTTGTAAATTGTGAGTTCATTACCTCTGTAACTTGCTCAGCTATCAAAATTTTGGAGTCCAGTCCCTGGACCAATTATGTACCTCTGTAATCTTTTGACTACCGCCCACAGGATGGGTATGGGGTGCATAATAAACATATTAAACTAACTAAAGTACCAAACATAATATAGTAGGTTTTGTCAGTGTTAAGCGTAAGTTTATTGGCTGTCATCCAAGTCGATATTTTGATCAGCTCCTCGTTAACAATGGTGTTGAGGGTGGCAAGATTAGGGTGAGAGATGACATAAGTCGTGTCGTCAGCAAAGAGAATGGGTTTCAGGTGTTGGGATACGTTTGGAAGATCATTGATGTATATGAGGAAGAGCAGGGGACCAAGGACACTTCCCTGCGGAACTCCAGTATCAAGTGGCCGTGTTGTTGATGCTGTGTCTTTAATGGTGACATACTGATACCTATTAGTAAGGTAAGATTTGAAATAAGCAAGCGCATGGCCTCTTATACCGTATTGGTCAAGTTTGTGGAGTAGGATGTCATGGTCTACTGTGTCAAAAGTTTTTCTTAGGTCAATAAAAATTCCTAGTGGATATTCCTTATTTTCCAATGCTGTGTAAAGCAGATCTAACATTTTTATGATTGCATCATTAGTGCTTGTATTTTTCCTGAATCCAAATTGGCAGGGGTTGAGTATGTTTTGTGCCGTTATAAATGAATATAGTCTCTTGTGCACGAGTTTCTCAAAGATTTTGGATAGCAATGGTAAGTTTGATATTGGCCTATAGTTGTTTAAGTCTGTAGGGTCACCACCTTTATGTATTGGTGTAACCCTTGCCATCTTGAGTAGTTTCGGGAAGGTGCTAGTTTCTAGTGACTTGTTAAAAAGTAATGAAATAGCATGCGAAAGGACATGGGCCGCTCGCTTGTACAGTAATGGTGGGACATGAGACAGATTCCCTGAGTTATTTTTAAGTGACTTTATAATCTCAGTGACTTCCGTGGGCTCAGTTGGTGCAAGAGAGAAGGAATTTGGGAAATTCCCATCTAGGTAGTCCCCGGCATGGGCATTGGTATGTGGGATTTTACTGGTGAGATTAGATCCTATGGTTGAGAAGAAGTCGTTTATCTTGTTAGCTGTGTCAGTGGGATGTAGTGGTGTTTCATTACTGCAAGTAACTAAGTACATACCTAACTAAAGTAACTAAGTATGTGACTAAAGTAAGTAACTAAGTATGTAACTAAAGTAAGTAACTGAGTACGTAACTAAAGTAACTAAGTACGTAACTAAAGTAACTAAGTACATGACTAAAGTAACTAAGTACATAACTAAAGTATGTACGTAACTAAAATATGTAAATAACAAAAAAGGCACAATACTGTGACTGGAACGATACACAAATAACTCGCACATAGAAGAGAGGAGCTTACGACGACATTTCGATCTGACTTGGACCATATTTCTTCTTCTCCCTCTTCCCCTTTCCTTTTTCTGGGTTGTCTTTTTTCTGCCTTGTGTTTCTGTTTTGTTCCTTCTGTGTTTTTGCTCTCCCTCTGTGGGCACCTAGCTCCCTTGTAGTGCTCCCCTTTCTTAGTATTTGACTGGCTCCTCCTCCTTTCTTCCCCACCACCACTTCCTTCCACCTCCGCCACTACCACTACCACTACTACTACTGCTGCTACTGCTACTACTACTACTACTACTACTACTACTACTACTACTACTACTACTACTACTACTACTACTGCTACTACTATCCTAGGTTCTCTACACATATGCTGCTATGTATGATAATTCTATGTAACTGTATTTGTGTTTACCTGGAGTTTACCTGGAGAGAGTTCCGGGGGTCAACGCCCCCGCGGCCCGGTCTGTGACCAGGCCTCCTGGTGGATCAGAGCCTGATCAACCAGGCTGTTGCTGCTGGCTGCACGCAAACCAACGTACGAGCCACAGCCCGGCTGATCCGGAACTGACTTTAGGTGCTTGTCCAGTGCCAGCTTGAAGACTGCCAGGGGTCTGTTGGTAATCCCCCTTATGTGTGCTGGGAGGCAGTTGAACAGTCTCGGGCCCCTGACACTTATTGTATGGTCTCTTAACGTGCTAGTGACACCCCTGCACCCTGAATAAACTTACTACTACTATACTACTACTACTACTATACTACTACTACTATTACTACTACTTCCT